GAAAAATCACTTCCTGGGCAGAAGTTTGGAAACCACATTCACAGGTCAATGGCGTCTAAGGTAAGGTGAAGATTTTAAACTGCGCGGGCATCGCCTGGCCTTTTTAATATTGCAAAGTGACCAGGAAGCTACAGGATCTGCCCAGGATGCCACTGAAAACTGAGAGAGAATTGGCAAAACTCTGGTGTACAACTGCCTTTGGAGGGATGTTAATCCCTTTTGCTTGTGTCCACTTATTCTATATTTGGGCTTAAATAGCCAATAAACCAGTGATGCAGAAGACCAGGTGCCTCTGCTATCAGGAGATCCCTACAGGGGGTTGAAAAGTACACCCATTTATGTTCACCTGGAACCTCAGAACACCGTCTTACTAGAAAATGGGGTCCTTGCGGGCATCATTAAGATAAAGATCAAGATGAGATCATCCTGGATTAGAGCGGGCCTTTAATCCAATGACAAGTGTCCTTATAAAAGACAGAAAAGGACAGAGATGCACAGAGTGAGCGGCGAGGTGGAAGGAGGGGCCAGGAGGGGAGCTCGGTGGGAAAGCGCTGCCTAGCGTCCTGGAGGCCTCGGGTCCTAACCCCAGTGTGTGGAGGGGGGAAAGATTGGCACTTGGCAGCCACAAAGAAAGAAACACCAGGAAGAAGCTGAGAGCTAGGAAAGGCTAGGACAGACCCCACCTGCAGGCCCTCAGAGGAGCATGGCCCTGTGGGCACCATGCAGGAAGGCTTCTGGACTCCAGGTCCGTGGGAGAAGCAAGTTCTGTTGTTCTAAGCCCCGAAGCTGGTGTTATTGGTTGCAGCAGTCCTGGGAGACTAATACACGCTCCACGCTCTGTCACCCCTGGGCAGGACATGGGTTCTCCACACAGACGGGAGACTGCATGATGCCTCCTGCCTCCCTGTAGACAAAGATGCAACAAAGCGTCTTATTTAGATCTTGCGATGTGCTGAGTTTTGCACCAGGGATGGATAACGCGCAAGAGGCTCTGCCGTAGTTGTGCAGGCTCAGACACAACATGGAACAAGGGAGAGATTGCAGAGGCAAGAGGAGGTTCAGTGCCAGTGGGTTTGATCAGAGGCTGTGGGTGCAGGAAGGGCAGGGGCAGCCCGTCCACTGCTCAGGGGAGATCCACTAAGACAGAAGTGAAAGTCAAGGGCAGTTCCTGGGGCGGAGGGTGGTGGAGTGGGGCTCTTCCAGGCAGACCTGAGAAATCATGATTTGATCAAGAGATGCTGCAGGGTACACAGCGAGGTGCTGGGACTGTACTTCAAGGAGCCCGGCAGACTTCTTGTAAAGAATCATCTGTCCAGGGATTCACTTCTCATCCTGCCAGAGGTCAAGTGCTGAGCTCTGTGACTTTGATGACTGCCTCCACTGCTCTTTGCCTCTGTTTTTCAGTCTAGGAAATGGGTGTAGTAATATCAGTTGCTGCTGAGAACGCAGAGAGGATTCTATGAGCTAACACACGGCAGGTGCTTTGCCCAGTTTGTGGCCTGTGGTGGGCATTTGTCAGCATTTGCTAGTATTATTATTACTACTGTTTTGGGGACTTGTGCTCCTACCTAGCAGTTTTTTGTACGTGCCAGGTGTGTTGCTATGTACATTACCCATGACTTTGATTCTTATAGCCAAATGCTATAGGAGGAAGAAGTTAAAAGGATGATCAGTTTCTAAATGAGGAAACTGAGGCTAGGAAGAACAGAGCGTTTTCCTAGCAGCCAACAGAGAGCAGAGCCAAGATTTAAACTTAAACCTAATCACTCCTAGGGTGTTGCGGCATACACCTATAATGCCAGTATTGTGGGAGGCTGAGGCAGGAGAATTATAGCTTCAAATTCAATGTAAGTGACACAGTGACTTAGCAAGATCCTGTCTCAAAATAAATAAGGGCTGGGGACACAGTTTAGAGTGAAGGCTCTGAGTTCAATCTCTAGTACTTTGGAAAAAAGAGAAAAGAAAAAAGAAAAGCAAGCAGGCAGGAAGGGGAAAAATTTTCTCTACTAGGTATCTATTTTCTTGTGTATTAGAAAAATAACGGTTTCCTATTTAAAAGTAGTGAGATAAAATCTTCTTTCAAAATAAACTTATTTAGAAACACTATTGTTCGCAATAGCTAGAAGATGATAACAGATTAAGCACCCATCAATGAATGGAGAAACAAACTGTGGTTTCTCTATATGATGTAAACCTGGCATTGGCTACACTTATATGAAATATCCAACGTAGACAAAGATATCCCACAGTGACAGAGAGCAGATCTGTGGCAGCCAGAGGTTGGGGGAGAGAGGAATGGGGAGTGGCTGCTTCACGGTTATGTGATTTTATTTTGGGGTGATGATAATGTTTTGGAGCTAGATATGGTAGTTGTACAATATTGGGGATGTAGTAAATGCACCTGAATTATCCATTTTAAAATAGTCAATGATGCCAGGCGTGGTGGCATCTGCTTGTAATCCCAGCACTTGGGAGGCTGAGGCAGGAGGATCGTTGTGAGTTTGAGACAAGCCTGGGCTACAAAGCAAGCTCAAGGCCAGCCTGAACTGCATACAGAGACTCTGTCTCAAAAAAAAAAAAAAGACAAAAAAATAAATAGTCAATGTTATGACAGGTCAATACAAAAATTAAGCTTGAAGAAAGGAAGTTAATTTATTCAAAGAAACCACCAATGTAAATAACAGCCCATAGTGAGCAGAGATACGGAGAAAATCACAATGACGGTAGCCGGAAAGCACCACACCATATTGCCTACTAAGGGCGCAGCAACTCCAGAAGGCCCAAGCCAGGCGTATTTCTTCTTTGTGGGTTTTATTTTTTTTCCCCTGCCTGCAGCCAGCTCAGTGCTTAAGAAATACTTGTTGAGCTCAGCTCAGCCTGGCTCAGCCCGGCTTAGTTAATTGAGTTAAGGCGAGCTGAGGCCTATGGAAAGCAGCAGCTGGCTGGGCTGGACGCCATCCAAGTGGAAGATGTTAAGAGTCTCGCTAATTCACTAAGCCGCTGCAAGGTAGTCTAAGTAATGAGGCTGTGCTCCTCTCCCTACCTGCCTTACCTGTGCGTGCTGCCACCTTAGGAGCAGAGCCTCCGCGCCCTCCAGGTAATACAGCTGCCCTCCCCTGTAATCCCCCGTCTGTGTTTGCTGGAGACCTCACCGAATAATACAGAGGAGGGAAGTACAGCATAAGGAAAATAGGCTCAGCTAGAAGTCTCTGGGAAGGGAAAGGATCGACCTGCAGGAAGCAGAGAACTTTCTATCTCTGTCCCAGTCACAGCCTACACTTTATTGTCCAAAACACTCATGAGCATCTGGTGGAAAAGCAACAGGAAGAGATGAAGAGCTCATTGACTTGCCTCTGATTGCTTGGGTCTGAACTTGGCTGAGGACCCGAGCCAAATTCATTCATCTCTCTGCACTATCTTTTTTTTTTTTTTTTTGCACCTGTAAAATGAAGATAATAATAGAGTCTGCTGTACAGGGTTTTGGAAGATTCAACAAAACCATACATGTCAAGCGCTCAGAGCGCAGCTTCCAGGAATGCTGGAAACACTCAGGTTCACTGCGATGATCGGCCACGATCGGGCTGCAGAAAGCTCTGTTTGAAGTACACGATGGGCCTGGTGCACACAGACCAGCTCTGCAGAAGCAGCCAGGAGGACGGAGCAGTTGTTTGTAAACATCCTGCTGAACAGAAGCACATGGTGATGTAAGCTCTGGCTCCAGGAGTGAGCAGCGGGGAGCGGCTGTCTGTCTCCACTCTGGCAGGGTGCTACCTACAGAGTGAGACCCCAGAGGCCGCCTCCCCTGCGGAACAAAGAGGCAGAACAAAACTGGGCAAAGATCCCCACTTCCAGCTGTGCGCAGAAGAGCCATGCTCCTGGGTACGGCGTGCATCTTGGGCTCACAAGTCAGGAAGGTCAGGCAGGGTGTGTGTGGTGGTCTCTCCAGCCATCCTTTTGTACACGTTCTCAGGGCAGGAAGTGGGAACTGGGACTGGGTGGGGAGTGGTCTCAGACTTGCTCTGCAGTATGTTGCAAGGTGGTGTGCTCCCAGAAAAATCTCTAATCTCCAAGCTTAAACAATATGGGAATCAGGCACGGTGCCACACACCTGTAATTCCAGCACTCACGAGGCCGAAGCAGGAGGATCACCACTGAGTTCAAGGTCAGCCTGCACTACATAGCAAGACCCTGCCTCAAAAATAAATAGATAAATAACATGAAAATTTTAAAATTTAATGAAAAAAGCTTTTAAAAAGCAAAAAATCTGGGGAAATCTTTGTTTAAATAAAAGTGTACCAGGAAGCTGAGCCTACAAACAGGCAGAAGATTTGCTGGGTGGCTGAAGTAGGGAAGGGCTTCCAGACTGCAACTCCTCCCAAGACACACACTTTGGAAAATACCAACTGCTGGTCAGTGGCGGGACTGGCGGTATGTGGCAGAGCACGCAGGGTCCCAAGGTGGTCTCAAACAGTAAGAAGGGATGTAGAGCACAGCTGAGTGACGGTGTGATGGGAGCTCAGGACTCCAGGTCTTTCTGCTCAGCTAGTATCCTTCCTCCTTCCTCTGGTAAGAGTGCCCTGACTTCCTTTGGGGAACTACTTACCCCTGTTCTGTGTGGTTCAGTAAGACACAGGCAGCAACTACCACCTGGACCTCAGCTCACTCTGCTCCGCTGGCCTTGAAGGCCTGGATCCAACCACACCTGAAGCTTAACTAGCTCTTGCTTCACAGTTCAGTAATCCAATATGTTCTCCATCTGGCATAAGTCCACAGATGTCAGGATTTTGTTACTTTGCAAGGGAAGCCTCATGACTAATACACAGGGGAAAGTTATTTAACCTGCTTGAGTGTCCCTTTTCCCACTTACCAAGGATCTTTAAAGATCTAGAACCCTTGCCTTTCAGCAGCTCTATAAGCAACTGACCACACAGCAGCAGCAAGACATTAGCAACAGAGGTACCTTGAAGATTTGTTAGTTTTAAGGGAAACAAAAAACAAGGATTAGTTCATATTGGTCCACTTTATTGTCTGAATGAGAGTAACAGGGTGTAACAGAAAATAGAAGTTCATTAGGAAGGGGAACGGAGGAAGCAGGAGGTGGCCATGTGCTCCCAAAAACACACCAGTGGGTGGGGAGCATGCGAGGCCCCTAGGTCGGGTTTTTCAATTAGACTGGAGTTGTCTGAAAGCAGCTGCTGTTCTAACAGCCCTGCAGATGAGGCCCCACGCTCACGCTCGGTGGGTCTCCAGGTTCTCAAGCTCAGGGAAAGCGGACTTGTCCTTGGAGCAGAAGGATCGGGGCCCAGACGCTACCAACGTGGGTGATCTCCCAACCCAGCCATTGCAGTTCACAGCCGGCATCATGTGTGTGGCCAGATCGTCCCGGGAAGACAGGCAGGCAGGCAGGCAGGCAGGCAGGCAGGCAGGCAGGCGGGGAAGATAGTTGCTGGGGACTGCCCTCCGGGAAGGCCACCGTCATCTGCTCAGGAACCCTTGAAACCAAAAGCCCCACGTTCTCCTTGTCACAGCTGTCGCACATAAACACCGCGGGGCAGGGGGGATTTCCCACGGAATTTTTCGCAACCGCTCAAATGTTTTATTTCCCATTGTCTGCAGCCCCTCTTGCACCTCAACTGTCACAGCAGCAACAGACAGAGCCGCTCCCCCAGGAGTCCTCGGCACACGCTTGCTCTGGCTTCCTTCCCTTCCACGTTGGGAAGCTGGTATCAGCGGGATGAGGCGCAGCCAGGGAATAAGGTCTGTTAGTCAACTAGTGAGGCACAGCAGTGGAGGGAATACGGGCTGTGCTCAGCCCTTGCTGCTGGGGACACCGCTCTGTGCAATCAACCTTGGTGTTGTTATAATCGTAGCGACTAATACTTACATCTATGGGAAGAAATCCCTTTTGCATGTCAGACGCACTTGACCAAAATACACAGCGCAGCATTAAAATGTGAACTTGAGCTGGGGAGTGGTGATGCATGCCTGTAATCTCAGCATTCTGGGAGGCTGAGGCAGGAAGGTTGCAAGTGCGAGCCCAGCCAGGGGTCGACTTAGTGACATAACAAGACCCCATCTCAAAAAAATTAAAAGCAAACAAAATTAAATAAAGCATGAACTTAAATCATTTTTTCTTGACCTGATGTGTTTTAACAGAATTTTCCAAGTTGTACGCTGTACATCAGTGTTCAGAAAACCTAAACAATCATGATGATTGATTGACTGCTAATTGAAATGCACCTCCTTCAAGACAAGCATTCACGGGATATTTTGGAGACCCACATCCAAATGGAGCATAGCTGCTTGCAGAGGAGCTCACGGTCTAGAGAGGGTAGAGCCTACCAGGCAACACAGCCTGGGAGAGGAACTGGGAGTCACTTCCAAGGGTGCTAATCTCAGGAGGGAGCAGGTGTCTTCAGGCAGACACACACGTGGCCTGTCACTAGTTCACACAGTCTGTGCACTCGGAGTGTGAAGGACCCCAGGCAAGGGTGGGCGCATGGCACAGCCTGTCCTGTGAGGACCGAGAAGAGAGAAGATGCTTGCACACATCCACCCGCCAAAGCCCACACCCTGCGCGACAGAGGTTGCCCTAGGAATGAGTTCAGTTATGCAGCCAGGCATCCATTAAAGCCACAGATATTTACTGAGCATTCAGGCTGTGCTGGGTAGTGTCTAGGTAATGAGAATCACAGAGGTGACTGAAATCAACCATCTTCCTTGCCTGGGGGCACCTTCGTACAGCAGGGCAGGCAGCCCGTCAACAAACGCATACGTGAAGTAATAGAGTCATACAGCACAGTAAAGAATAAACAAATACACAGTTGAGAATCTCCCCACCCGGCAGCAAATGCTGGTGGTGGGGAGAGCACATTTGGGGCAACACTTGGCTCGGCAAAACTCTCACGACCAGCCAGAACTCCTGACAAAAGGATGTCAGAGAGCAGCGACAACTTCGCTTTGCAGTTTACGCGGCACTTTTTCATCTCTCTGGACACCTCAGGCCCTGCCAGCAAGACCGAGGGAAGCAGTTTAGCAGTTATTTTCCTCACTTCTCAGGGGAGGGATCCAAGGCTTCAGGGATGGGGCGGCCTCAGGTCACACGGCTAGAAAGGCTAAACTGCTAGTGTCTATTTTTACAAGGACAGAAACGGAAGCAAAACAAGGGGGGGCGCATTTTATTTTCCCAGGCACAGTATGTGTCACTGCAGAGGAAACACACTTTCCAAAATCCCACTAGGAGGGAAAATAAACCATGTTAACAGTGCCATATCTCCAAAGTACAGATTGGGGTACATTTTAAAATTTCATTTGTTTGTTTGTCTTTGCGGTACTAGGGATTGAAGCCAGGGCCTTCAGCTCCAGTCCTTTCTTCTTATTTTGAGACAGGGCTTCACTAAGTCTTGAAGTTGTCCAGGCCGGACTTGAACTCACAATCCTCCTGCCTCAGCTTCCCAGAGGTGCTTAGATTACAGGCATGTACCACTGTGCCCAGTTTAAGGGAGACTTTAATAATACAGGGCATGAATCCCAATTCACATCCCTTGCAATGGAACCCCTTTGTCAAGGAACTAACATTTATCCACACTTCTGATCCATACTTGTAAAGAAGGTGGGGAAGATGTTAAAGCCTATTCCTCAGGGAGGCTGTTAAATTCCCATTTGTCAGATGAGGACACTGAGTCCCTGGCACACGCCATTAGCCTGAAGCAGACTCCAGACTCTGGTCCTTCTGATGGCAGGGCCTGGATAGCTCTGGGTGGAAGAGCTGTGTCCCCAGGGTGGTCTTGGGGAGTTCTGGCAGCTGGATACTGGGAGAGGTGGCTTTGAGACAGGGCTCGGGGTCTGAGGCTGCAGTGCTGCCCTCCGCGGGCCCAGCCCGCCCACTTTTTAACAGGGTGGCATCCCTGACAGAAACCCTTGTCCTCCTCCTGCGCAGGCCTTGGTAACACAATAAATAAAGCCTCAGAGTAACTGACCTGAGCCCGGCAGTAAATGATGGCACTGTCAGTCCTACACGACTGTTGAAACAAACACAGACTGTAATCATCGTGCTGTACCGGGAGAGAGACATTTGGCAAATGAGATTCCATTTTCACATTGGTTTGTGCTGAGCATATAAATTTCCTGCGGGCCGGCCAGCGTTGGGGATGTGTAATTGATTGCCCGCATTATAATAAACAAGCCGTGACAGGTAATCATTCATCATATTCCGGCGAACGTTCCAGCACACTAGAAGACTGGAGAAGAGAGGGAACGCAGAGGAGCCGGGGGAGAGGAGAGGAGAGAAGAGGAGAGGAGAGAGGAGGAGAGGAGAGGAGAGGAGAAGGGAGG